AACTCACCTTGATCTGCCATTTTCGTCGAAAACTGCCGCGACCAAACAATGACTTCTTCTTCTCGCTTCCTCTCCAGCCGCCCCGCGTCACGTCACTCACACTCTTCCTCGGATGACCGCCCAGACAGTACACACGTCAGATGCTTTCATCTCCTATTCGACCGTCTCTCTCTCTCCCTCCCTCCCTCCCTCTCTCTCTCTCTCTCTCTCTCTCTCTCTCTCTCTCTCTCTCTCTCTCTCTCTCTCTCTCTCTCTCTCTCTCTCTCTGTGTCTCTCTCTCTCCCTGTCAAAACTGTGAAACCTGCCACGAGTGACGAGGTCTTTCGCGGTGGTATTGCTTCTTCCAGCGAATCCTTGGACACCGATGACGAGCACTTTTGTGTCCGTGTTCCTTCCCAGACTGGAGAATTCTGCAGGGGTTCGCAGGGTGGTAGAGGTTACTTCGGCAGTTCATTGCTAGTGGCCGCATCGGAAGCCGATGAGAACACCAACACGCGCACGACTCTGCATCCTGTCACGACGGGCTGAAAGCGCTCATGGCCGGCCGGTGCTCCCTCGTGCAACTGGCGAACGTCCGCGAACGCATGCATTCCACACACGAAAACTGGCCGACGTAGGCCGAAAACAGATGCATTCTCCAACGCGCGCGAAGTTTCCAGACAGGCCGTGACCCCCCCCCTCCTCCCCCCCCCCCCCCCACACACAAAAAAAAGCGATGCATTCCCCCACGTCCCGCTACCAGATTCGGCGAGTTCCTCGTCGACAGAAGGGGGGGGGGAAACAAAAAATGCTATGTATTCTCCCGGGTCCACCCACCGGATTCACGCCCCGCACGCCCTGAAAACGAAAAATCGGACGCGACGTTTCGGCCAGTTTCCCGTGGGTCCGCCCTATCGAAGCGAAAACTTTCCCAACACTGGGAAGCGGGTCTCCGTGGGAGCGTCACGCGAGACCCGCTGTACGCTTTAGGAGTATTAAGGAAGGAAAAAGAAAATTGCTCTGGTAGCTCTCCAGCTTTGCTACAGTCAGAGTGAAGAAGGAAACATGTGGTGGTGTGATAGTAAGCTATTCTGTTTTTTTTAAAAAGAAAAAAAAAAAAAAAAAAGCTATTCCGTTACGTGGATGGCTGTTGGCTCAGTCGTTAGAGCACCGGTTGGAAATGCACCTTGTGGCATGAGGTTGCGGGTTCAAAACTCCGTTGCCTCGTACACATACACCGGCAGCGCTTTCATAGCGCACAAGACATTTGTGCGCTTTCATAGCGCACAAGACATTCACACACTCCCCCTTGGGCTGATGCATGGTAATTGTTACAGACACTGCCTGCACACCACCCAAGAGGTTTAGACCGTTTCGTCCATGGTTGCAATGTGCTGGTAGCAGGGCCTTGGGGAAGGGCTGTTTGTGTGGTTGGCCTTGGGGTGGTCCGACGAGTCTGCGTGTGTGTGTGTGTGTGTGGTGGGTGTGGGTTGTGTGTAGTGTGTGTGTGGTCCATTGATCTCTGGGTCATGTCTCGTGTACTCACCATGGGCAGGTTAGAGAAGGTAGGTTGGGTAGAGGTCTTAGGTCTAGATTAGGTTAGATAGGAATTTGTGTAGAGATTGTGGGCCTGTCTGTGCGCCGCCTCGTTCGTATGCACTGCTCTGTGGGTGTGTCATGGGTGTGTCTGGGTACTGTAGTAGTTTCCTGGCCTCATGGTACACCTGCGAGAGTCCATACTTACACTGTACAATCCTGGCTCCGCTCTATACACCCCCCTTGAATAGTAGTAAGGGTTGGGTGTTAGGCATATATGATTCCCAAGGGCAGGCCTCATGTCTATCTTACGATGCTTGTGGGCTGGGCTTCATCCGGGGTGGTACCTGTCTGTGTTCCCATTGAGGGGGTCGATTGAGGCGTGATTCTGGGGAAGGGTCTCATCTTAGGCAGGGGAGGGTGGGTCGTCGCATTGATAGTGGAAGGGTGGTAGACACCCATAGAGTCTGCTAGATGTGATACAGGTGGGGAATGACCACATATCCGTGACCCCTCCTGTGTCCGGGTCGTCCTCGAGAATTTGGGGTGTCCCTATGGTAGCGCCCGGGGAGGGACACTCATCTGAGACCCTCGGAAGGTGCGGGTTGGTGTAGGTCTAGGTCTAGAGACAGGTCTGGGTCGCACCGCTGTAGGGCTCGACTTGCGATCTGGTTAGGATAACAAAAAACAGTTCATGAATGATGCCCCCTGGAGGAGACTGTCGTTGGGGCTGTCACAAGCCATCTGATCTCCCCACTGGTCGAGTACAAAGACAGGCACCTCCCTAGGCCTAGCATCCAGCCTCTATTACAATCTGGACTTTCTTTTTAAAAAAAAGAAAAAGAAAAAGAAAACGAAAAAAGAGGGATTGTACACCTTCGACAGCTCTTTGTGGCTTTTATGATCCTGGCCAATTTCAAATTGCAAAATTCACGAGAAAGCACAATGCCGTCCAATTGCAACGGAAGTGAATGAACTTGAGGGGAGGGAGAGATAAAGAAAAAGAAGAAGAAAGAAAGAAGTGTGAGAATTGAGCCCTCAAGAAGGGGCCTAGTGCCCGCCCTAAGTGAAGGCGGGCCAGCAAATCAACAAGAGCCCTCTGTGCAAACATTTCCCGATGTCGGGGTCCATACAGTTGCAGCACGCCAGTTGGTTGGCGTGCACCGAGTCTCGAATCTCTGCAAATGTGGAGMTCCCAGGGCCCTCTGAGTTAGTTAGGCCCTGGGCACTTGAACGTGAGGCCGACAATGCATGCTGGGTATAGAGGCCGAAAATGCCAAAGGGAAATCGGCCCACTATCTGAATCTGGCCACAGGCCTTGATGAAAGGGGC